ACAGCAGCACCCAAAGTTCAGCTGCTAAAAACCTGGCTCTCCGTAGTTTCCTACAAAGTCACAAAGAAGGCATCGCAAAATATAAATATATACATATGTATACACACACACACACACACACACACACATATATATATATATTTAGCGCCTCTGAACCTTCAGGTGGTATTCAGATGCAGTCTTCATCAAGTTTATAAAAGAAACAAGAAAAAAGAAAAACCCAAACTCACTCACAGCATAAAGGTGGCCACTGGCCTCCCAGAATGGGTGGCATGGTGACAAGGAGTTCAGGGCCTTGAGTCACAGCTGGAAGTTAGCTCAGGGACCCGGGAGGCCACTGGCGATTCTCCTCAAATGATTCAAGACCCACCTCTGAAATCTGTACACAAGTCATTGCTTTTTTTGGTCTGCAAAATTTTAATGAGCAATAGCTGGACAACTCTTACAACTTCAAATCATTAAGAAAAAAATAAGGAGATTAATCCATCTCGATAGTAAAGACAAAGTCGTTTGGACAAACCACATCATTTTGAATGCAAACCAGTAGTGCCTTCTAGAGTATCTCCTGGACAGTCTAATACACAAAATACGTAAGAGAGGCAAATAAGGGAGAGCTCATTAAAATGCAACTGGGAATCTCAACAGAACTTGCTTAGAAAGGAAAACTAAGCAGGATGCTGAATTAAAAAAAAAAAAAAAAAAAAAAACACCGAGTAAGTCAACATTGCAGGAATGGAGGTGCGCGGCGGGGCTCGCCACCCCCGAGGTCTGGACGACATGCTGGTGGTCGTGTTTGCTCTGGAACCCGTGCACCTGCGTCACGCACTCACGGTAAAAAAAAAAAAAACTATCAAGACAGCCAGTAGTAGTAAACCCAGGAATTATGTCCAAATTTACAGTACCAAAATAATGCATTTATAAACAAATGCAAAAGCAATACCCCTTTGGTAAATAACACAGTGCCTTTTTTTTTTCAAACGCATAATCCATGCTTTTCTACAACACGAAAAAATATTTATCTACAATAAACAACAAGAATCCTACCCCTCCCCTTAAAAAGAACTTGTAAACAGAAAATATAGGTACAAGTAAAGTTACAGGAAAATTGCACAAAGCCAAAGAAATGAAAACAAAGCAAGCCACAGCCTTTCAGTTTTACCAGCCGGAGAAGGAAGTACACAGATGGAGAAGAGTTTGGAGTTGTGTGCTATGACTTGAACACATGTCGTCTCAACTAACTGTTCACAACCATCGACTTGGCCAGATGCCAGGTGGTCCACACAAGGACACGAGGGGCTCCTTCTCCACAGCGGCTGGGTGTTTCCCAAGCCAGCCCCAACAGGCACGCCCTTCCTCCCTGGTGAACCCAGCTGCAAGGCTTTGGGGCTGTTCTCACGGGTGCCTGGAGCAGGCACACGCACTGGAGACGCTCTGTCCTGCCCAGACTCGGTGCTTCTGCGTCATTTCAGGAGAATGAGCACCAGTGCAGATGCATTCTGGGGGCAAGCTTTCTAACGATACTATTTTAAATGCACTGCAGTATATGCAGGAGATGGCCAGTTAACACAGGGAAAGAAATGTTTCCCTACAAAAAGGCAAACTAGAAGCTCTCGGGCTGGGAGGGCTGGAAGGGAGCCAGCCAGACAGTAGGATCGAGGCCTGGCCAGCAGGGGACTTGCCCAGGCCACCCTCCGACCACAGCATTGGAACAGGCTCGGCCCTGGGTTCCCCCGAGCCTGCGCTGTGACTCCAGGGTGTGCCCCTGCGGGTCACCTGACAGGGAGCCACAGCCGAGGATGAGAAACGTGTCCCCACCCCACCCCCCCGTGGGGGCCTGCGCTTGACGGAGCCATCAGAGCGCGGAGTCCCCTCCTGCCTCGGCCCCAGTTTTTGTCGGAAGATACACTCAGTGGGTACAGTGTACATGGACGGACCTGTGCCTTCTGTCTGATGAGGTCAGAACAAACACAAATTTAAAATGGGGTTTTGCGCTCGGAAAACACTGCTTCTCTCAAAACACCATGGATTCGTTACGCACTGGCTTTTGACTGGACTAGTGTTCTCAGATTGAGAAATTCCATGAGGTATCTTGAGATTCCTAAGGTGCCACTGATAGACCTAGAGCTGTGCGATGAAGCACGTCAGTGGTGTTTCATCAATGGGACAGCCTGAGTGAAAGCGATCTGAGTGACAGACTGACTGGCTGTGTGACGCTGGCCGCTCTTCACCCAGGGCACAGTGCAGGTGGCAGCTGCCATGCCCAGGCAGACGCACAGGGACAGGTGCTTCCCACACAGGGAGCCCGCGCCGCCACAGGGGAAGGCGTCTTTGGGGAGTAGGCTAAGAATTCCGCAGGTTTACTCAGTCACTGGCCACAAACGCCCGCTTTGCTCTCCTGTGTATTCACAACTTCTTGTCAAGGATCCCTCCCTCTATTCGCACTTACTGAGAACAGCTCTAGAATGTGTCTGCACGTGTCCGTGAGAACGCACAGAGCAGAAGCACGGTTTGCGACAGTCCCTTCCTTTGCTAATCTCATTCTAATAGCTCGTCCCCTTCCAAAATATCACCTTCTATTTTTAATTAAAAATAAGATTTTCAAAAGAAGAGAAAATATTATTTTTGGGTATGCTATCTCAAATAAATACTCTTTTGTACGGAATCAATATCACAAAACACCAAAAGGAAATTATTTTTAAAGGATTAATAAGAATATTTTCCCACTGAGAAAAACTTACAAATTGTCCAGCCCACAAAACCCCTTCCATCATAGCCTTTTATTTCCACAGCAAAATATACTTCTACCAAATCAGTTGTTACAGAGATACTAGTTTTCTAAATAAATAATAAAATGGGTAAAAGTCACCAATACATAGTAACAAAATAATTCCTAAGAATACTATGAAAAGCAAGATAAATAATTATCTCTTGGACAAAACAGGGGAACGGTGTTTAAATTATCTTAGAAACAGGCTGAACAAGTATTGCACCACTAAAGTGAGCAGTGAGACGCCCTAGCGAGCTACAGAAACTCATATAAAGAACTGGGTAGTTCTGAACGGACTAAGGAACTTTCCTGGGGAGATTCACCCACCCAAATCAGGCCGTATACTTTAAACGAGGAACCGGACACTCAGCGCTGGCAGACACCGTCACCGTATGTAAAAACCTCACCAGTGTCTCTGGAGTTTGGAAAGAATGGCAGTGATGTCATCTCACCCTGGGACAGGAATGGGCCAGTTTCTGTTCTAGTTTTTAAACCAAAATTGGGAAATTAAAAAAAACCAACTTTAATCTTTAATTTGAAGGTGTTCTCCTGTAGCTCCTTCCACATCTTCTGTCGGTCTGTTCTCACTCAGACTCTAAAGTTAGGACCCAGTTCTTGTGCTCCCGTGCCAAACATCACAGGTATGAACAGCTGAAAAATGGGCCTTGCCCAAGGGTTGCTGGGGGAGGGGAACATATGACAGGTGGATTATATTATTTTGCAACTGACAAAGAGTCAGCAACCAACTCCTTGAGTACTACGGTGTTAACGTCTTCTGAGTGGTTTATCTCCTTGGTAATCAGTCTGTACAGTATGAACAACTTTTCTCCTTTTTTGGCTCACAGAAGATCATAGAACTCTTGCAAAAAGCCTGACCACACCCCTATCTTTCAAGACTCCCGCCAAAGCTTCAAGATCTTTGGTCACACGGTTACTGTAACGGAAAGCACTTCTAGACAACTGAACGTTAACCTGGCCGGGGGGGGGGGGGGAGGAGTGGTTTCACATCCAGCCTCGTCCACGCTTTCACAGGGAGTGGTGACTGACGGGCAGGTCGTGTTGACAACAACACGCTCCAGATGAGAACGAACGAGGGGCAGAGAGAGCAGAGCTTGCTCCTCAGGGTGGGCTTCTACGACTCAGCACCACGCTACCTGAGAAAGCCGCTCCGCTGCCACAGGCTGGGGTCCCTTCCCTTCTGCGGCTCACCATCTCCCAAGGCAGCCGGACCTGCGGCCCTACGCACCGTTCCCAGGACGAAACACGGAGTCATGCCATGGACGCACCAGGCATGCAAGAGCACTGTGGGCCTGTGTGTGTGCCTCCCCGCCCTCATGTGTGTGCACAGAGCACTGTGGGCCTGGTGTGTGTGCCTCCCCGCCCCCACGTGTGTGCACACAGCACTGTGGGCCTGTGTGTGTCTCCCCGCCCCCACGTGTGTGCACAGAGCACTGTGGGCCTGTGTGTGTGCCTCCCCACCCCCACGTGTGTGCGCAGAGCACTGTGGGCCTGTGTGTGTGCCTCCCCACCCCCACGTGTGTGCGCAGAGCACTGTGGGCCTGTGTGTGTGCCTCCCCGCCCCCACGTGTGTGCACAGAGCACTATGTGCCTGTGTGCCTCCCCGCCCCGTGTGTGCACAGAGCACTGTGGGCCTGTGTGTGTGCCTCCCCACCCCCACACGTGTGCACAGAGCACTGTGGGCCTGGTGCGTGTGCCTCCCCACCCTCATGTGTGTGCACAGAGCACTGTGTGCTTGTGTGCCTCCCTCCCCGCCCCCACG